ACTATTTTTCACTTTGCATTGCTTTACTAACCCATCAACAACGGGAGTTAAAAATAAACAAGTCAGGGGCAAAGAATATAGAGAAGATATATTCCCGAGGCCTCAGTAGGCTGAGAGATGCAATAGGCAACCACAAACCCAGGCCCACAACAACCTATCCTGCCATCAAAACTGAGAAGCAAGGAGGCCCCACCCAACTCAATAGCCAATGAACCTCCAGTTTCAAATACATTTGATCACGTTATAAATCTGTTGTTTGGCTGCACAAACAGACTTTGCTATCCTCACTCTTTCAACAAACACTTCCTGAACCAGGTACATAGTGCTGGCACCGAGAACCCAGAGATTGTGTGTGTGTGTGTGTGTGTGTGTGTGTGTGTTCCCCACCCTTAAGGAGCTCAGTTTACTGAGCATAACAGATAGTAAATCAACAGTTACGCCAATAAATGTTTTGGGAGAGAGAGAGAGATGCAGGGTGTTCTGGAAGCCAGGAGGAAGGTCGCCTCCAGGTCACAGAGAAGTGCAGGGTGGGGAAGGAAGGTGTCCAGAAAATCAGAAACTTGACCTGAGTTAGGGAAATGGGGAGCAGGGGGTGGGTCATTCCCAGGAAAGGGCCCAGTTCTGGCAAAGGCACCAAGAAGTGATGGCTGTTGAGAGGCCGGGCTGATGTGAGAAATACGGGTTAGGGAAAAGGTGAAATAGGGAAGGTGGCCAAAGGCCAGTTATGAAAAGACTGCAGGCCCGCTGAGGGGGTTTAAGTTCTATTCTATAAGCAATGAGGAGCCCCTGGAGAATTTTAAGCAGGAGAAAGTCATGATAGATGTGTGAGTTAGAAACATCATGCTGCTAGGAAGTGGAGGTGGACTGAAGGAGGATAAAAGTGTGCCCGGGGAGACCAACCAAGAGGCTGCTGAAACAATCCAAATGAGGAGTCCTAAACGAAGGGGTGGGCAGGGAGTGACAAATTACAACATGGGCTCTTCCAGAAAAGGTAACCAATGGAAGACGACAGTTGAGGGAAAGGACAAAGCCAAGGGTGACTCCTGCAGTCGACATGACTGAGGGGGTGTAGTCCCACCCCAGGCAGGCACCACAGGGAGACAGACACACTGGGTACCAGGCGAGGGCTGAGTTGGAGGTGCCCACAGGATAGGAGCTAGGAAGGAGGGCTGGGCAGAGGTTCTGGGCTGGATCTGCAGATCTGGGTGACTTCAGGAGAGAGGTGAACAGTGGATGAGCTCACCGGGGAAGAATACTGGGACTGACCAGAAAGGGATCAAGCAAAACCTTATTAAGCTAAAGGTAGAGAAAAGAGAACCGGCACAGCAAGCTGCGGAGTCGAGGTCTACGGAGTTGGAGGAGAACCAGGGGATGGCAGGTCAGACAGGAGGGTGAGCTGAGGAGAGGGGCCAGGAGGGGAGCGCTCAGCCCTGCCAGAGGCAGGAGGCTGCTCTGGCCCCAGGAGGGAGCTCTCGCTGGGGGGAGCAGTTAGCTGGGTGTTAGCAACCACAGCCAAGCAAAAGAATTAAAACAGAGTGGACAGCTTAGACGACATATCTGCAGTCACCCCAAAGTGCATTATTATGACTTTTTTCAGAGGATTATCCTGCCTGCCTGACCTCAGACTGCACATCTCACCTGTCTATTCTGTCTGTCTCCCCTGCTAGCTCATCTGCCTCACGAGGACAGAACCTGTCCTGTGTCACCTGCAAAACTGCAGTGCCGACGGCAGTGCCTGGCACACAGAGGTGAAGCTCCTTGTCTCAAGTTGCCTGGCTCACTAGAAACAACAAATATTCAGTCAGCACATGCTACACGCCTGATACCAGGCTGGATGCTGGGGGTACGGAGGGAAACAAGTCAACGCAGGACCCTGGCCTCGGACCTTGAAGTTGGAGGTGAGCAGAGAGAGATGCAAGTATTTAAACAAAAAGTAGATTATAACTGCCTTAGAGCTAGGACTGGAACCTGACTGTCATGCCTTCTAGTGAGATTTCCTTTCCAAGCCCAAACCTGCCACCTTCTCCAACTAAATGAAAATTTCAGCAGGGGAAACAGTTAGCGTTTGAAGTTTGGCCTTAGTCTCCCCCAAGGATCCCATACTGCTTCCACACTTTTAATAGACTCCTAAGGAGCAGAAATACCCACCACAGCCTCTGAATATTTAACCTTAAGAACCCATTCTGTCTCCAGTCCTTCTATGTAAGTTAGAGGAGAAATTCCAGACCCAGGTGGGAGAAAACAGAAAGTGGCCTAAACTAAGGGGGTCAGATAGGTCTGGGTTCAAATCCCTTGTAACCTCAGGCAACCTCTTGTGATTTAATTTCCTTATTGCTGAAGTGGGAACACTAATTCCTCTTTCACAGGTGGTTGCAGAGATGAAATAAAATGATACCTACAGAGTACTCGGCACTATGCCTGGGATATAGTGAGACTTCACTAAACGGAGGCTCCAAACCAGTTCCACCTGTTGCTTTTATGACTCCATCTCTAACTGCTATATTTGCAAAAACCAAGCAAAAGACTACTCAGAATTCAAACCAAGGAACATACACTCGAAATGCTCGGAACATAAATTGCTATCTAGTTGAGCGACTTGAGGAATTATCGCAAATTCCCATACTTGGGCAGACTCTGCAGTAAGGAGTTTAATTTCCGTTTCTTGCTCTACCCTATTTTCTCCTCCAACTCAGGCAAATGCAACTATTTCCCCAACAGATCACATCTTGTCTCATGGCAAGGGTCCAAACATGGGCTAGATTCCGCTGGTGCAAGTTATGACAGAGCTCAGAACACCACACCTCAAAGAAAGCATAAGAACGCAATCACAAGCCCAAGGTACACACAAACTCCCAAACACACTTGGCTCCAGAGAAGGACAAGAGAACCGGTCGTGGCTTGCTCTGCTTGCCTCAAAGCGAAAGAAAGGGTTATTTTGGCATGCAGACGCTGAAATCTTTGTGTCTCCGTTCTTTTACCATCCAAACTCTCTGTAAGTGGTCACTTTTACTAATGTATCTGATTCTTTACCCGTCATTTATGACGGACCCTGTGCAACCTGGCTTCCTTCCCCCTTGCCCCCTCCGCACATCTCATTCTCAAGGCCAGCGGTAGCCACCTTGTCACCAGTTCGGCAGCCTTCCCTCAGGTCCCGTCTCTGTGGTCTCTGCTGTCCCCTCCTCTTCCCTTCCTGGGACTCTCTCCTTCAGCCCTCTGCTCATCACGGGGAGGACTTACTAATCCTATGGTTTCTGTTCTACACCTCTAGACCTACCCTTCCCGGCCCTGGCTTCAGCCCTGCATTTCTTTTTTTTTTTAAAGATTTTTTTTGATGTGGACCATTTTTTAAAATAAATAAATAAATCTATTTATTTATTTTTGGCTGCGCTGGGTCTTCGTTGCTGCGCATGGGCTTTCTCTAGTTGTGGTGAGTGGGGACTACTCATCACAGTGGCTTCTCTTGTTGCAGAGCACGGGCTCTAGGCACGTGAGCTTCAGTAGTTGTGGCTCACGGGCTCAGTAGTTGTGGCTCGCGGGCTCTAGAGTGCAGGCTCAGTAGTTGTGGCACACGGGCTTAATTGCTCCGCGGCATGTGGGATCTTCCCGGACCAGGGATCAAACCCGTGTCCCCAGCACTGGCAGGCAGGTTCTTAACTACGGTGCCACCAGGGAAGTCCTGATGTGGACAATTTTTAAAGTCTTTATTGAATTTGTTACAACAATGCTTCTGTTTTATGTTTTGGTATTTTGGCCACAAGGCATGTGGGATCTTAGCTCCTCAAGCAGGGATCAAACCCGCACCCGCTGCATTGGAAGGTGAAGTCTTAACCACTGGACTGCCTGGGAAGTCCCCAGCCCTGAATTTCTAATTGCCTACTAGACATATCCTGTGGATGAATCAGTACCATCTCAAATTCAGTGTATCAAAAACTGGACGACGCATCAACTACCCTTCTCCATCCCCAATAGCCACATTTCTGTCAATGTTACCATTGTGAACTATCAAGTTCAAACTTTCATCTTCTTTGGCTCCTGTCTTTAAAGTCTAAGAAGACCATAAATCCTATCATTCTTCCTTTGCAATATCTCTCCTATTGGACCTTTTCTCCATTTTAAGCACTGTTAACCACATGACCTCACACCTGGATTGCTACTGCAGCCTTGGAACAGGACCCATGCTTCTTGTGCAGCTCTCAGATGAATGCTCCTAACATGTTACTTCGGCCATTTCACTTCTTTGCCCCAAATAACTTCAATGGCTTCCCACTGCCTTCAGGACAAAGTCCAAGTGCCTTAGCCCAGCACAGCATTCAGGGTCTAGAAAAGGAGTGGGCAAACTAGAGCCCACAGGCCAAATCCGGCCCACGACCTGTTTCTGTAAATAAAGCTTTTTTGGAACACAGCCACACCGTCATATACATATTAACTATGGCTGCTTTCCCACTATAATGGCAGCGTTGAGTAGCTATGACAGAAACCATATGGCCTAGGAAGCCAAAAATATTTACCATCTGATCCTTTACAGAAAAAATTTGCTGACCCTGGTCTAGAATAGAATAATCAACCACCAGCAGATCCTGAAGAAGTTCTTACTCACCACTCCTTTGGATGAAGTTTTTGTTCCTGTGGGGCTTCTGCTGAGCCCACTTTCTTTACATCTTACACCCACCTTCTCAAGCCTGAAAAGCTTATTTCACTCCCCCCCGGACTTGTCCATCCTTCAAAATGCAGCCAAAGCTGCACCTCTCTGTGAGGCCAGCTGCGTCCATCCCTTGCACCCCTGGGTGTTTCTCCTCTGGCTTCTCCCTCTGCACCTACTGCAGAAACCTACAGTGGGATCCACTTCCCCTGTGGATCTTTTCCACCTATACTGTAGGCTTCTCTAGGGTCCAGGCTTGGTACCCTTCACAGAGCAGCACCAATGATAACTACCTTGCCCTTTATTCCAAATACCAATCCTTGACAGCATAATTTGGTAAGAAGGCATCAAACAAACTTACCAATGAAGGCCTAGCATTCCACATTTGAAAAGTTAAGCTTGGGTCCAAAAGCATGCACTCTAGCCAGCACCACCTAAAAGCCAATGAAATAAGAGTTTAACTTTAAAAGAGAATATTTACATGTTTTCTTTAAATTTACAACCCCAATAAGTTTTGATTTACTGTCCTCCCAGGATGTCTGTCTCTGCTTCTCTGCCTAGAAAATACTGCTCATCCTTCAAGTCCACTGGACAGCCTTTCCCTGGAAGCCATTCCAGTGTCCCAGACAGGCCAGGCACCCTCCTCTCGGCTCCCATGGAACCCCGGTGAGACATTTATGGTAACATGCGGTACAATGTAGCATAATTTCTTATTTGGGAATGGGGTCCCTAGGCTGTAGGCTTATCAAGAGAAGCGATCTGAGAAATTCACCCCTTCCCTTACCTCCAGTGCCTAGAATACTACGGGCATTTAGACAGTCCTCAATAAATATTTGTAAAATGGGTGGAAAAATAACCTACTCAATTCATGAACACATGCCCAGGCATCTAAACTTCTGCTAGGCCGCAATTTTCATCAGAGAAATGCATGCTTCAATCCCACTGCTTTTAATAGGCAACGGGTTTAACAGGAAGGATTAATGAGATTAAGCTTCTAAATGCACATCTCTGGAATGACACTCCCATGGGCAGAAACCTTTAGAGGCTCCCAGAACCTAAGAAGGCAAGCCCAACTCCACAGCCAGGCTGCCAGGCCTGCAGCAACTGGCTCAGCCTGAGTCTGCAGCCTCAGCTCCTGTGATCTCCCCCAGTGGATGCTTCAATCTAGACAGATAGGACTGGTGCCCAGCCCCTTCTCTCAGCATTCCTTCCAGCTGGATGTCTTCCTCCCCTTCTCTCCACATGATCTCCTTCTACTGCAGTGACTTCCATTTCAACATCATATTCCCAACCAAGGTCATGGTGGGGCTCAATAAGACTTTTTTTTCCTTTCTGATTTTGTGTGTGTGTGCGTATGTGGTGGTAAAACACACATAACAAAATTTACAAGCTCAGCCATTTTTAAGTGTGCAGTTCAGTGGTGTTACATACATTCACATTGTTGTGCAACTACTACCATTCATCTCCAGAACTTTTTTTTCATCTGCAAAACTGAACCTTTATGCCCCTTAAACAACAACTCTACCTTCTCCCTTCCTCTCAGTCCATGGCACTCAAAAAGTTTTTGTGGAATGAATGAATGAATCATTGAACGAATGAAGACATGAGTTAATCTGACCTCAACCCTCCCCACAAAAGCCAGAAAGAAGTACTGTCTGTTTCTGCTGGGCTCCCACGATACTATCTTCACATCTTTCTCAGACTTGTTTCAATGAATCTTAAATGACCCTTTTTTGCACACCTGTATTCTCCTTCAAGGCGGGAACTATGACTTATTTGAAAGGCTAAGCTTGGGTCCAAAAGCATGCATTTAGCTTCTCCTCCATGTTGTTAGATCCAAAGGGTGAGTCTGAGTCCTCCTCTTACAGCTTTTGCTACCAGTGAATCATGCCCTCTTGTTTGACTACTCTCTTCACTTCGCTTCCAGGCTAGCACTCTGGGTTTTCCATCTACCTCACTGGCTGCTCTTTCCCTTTGCTGGTTCTTCCTCATCTCCCCACCTCTTAATGTAAGAGTGCCCCGGGGCTCGGTCCTAGTTCTCCTGTCTTCTCTGTATTCCTTCAATCACCCCCTGGGTGATCTCACCTAGTCTCATACCACCTATAGGCTGAGGATGCCCAGATTTCTCTCCAAGTGCAGACCTCACCTCTGGACTCCTGGCTAATATATCCTACTGCCTGTTTCAGGTAAGATGTCAAGTGGACAGGAGGTCTGTGTGAGATGTGTTCCATGTCTCAAACTTGACACGTCTCACACAGACCCCTGATCTTCCCCCAGACCTGCTCCTCCAGAATCTTATCCATCTCAGTTTAAGGCCATGGTCTTCCAGTTGCCCAGGCCAAAGATTCGGAGTCATTCTCGTCTTGTCTCGTCTCTTTCTCTCTTATTCTCTATTCAATCCTCTGGTTTTTACCTTCAAGATATATTCACAATGTGACCATTTCTCACCTCCTCCACCATTACCAGCCTAGATTATTGCAATAGCCTCCTAATTGGTGTCCCTGCTTTCCCTGCTTCTATTTTTGGTGTCACTCCCACTTCCACCCATAGCCTATTCTCAATACAGGAGGGAATCTGTTACAACATAAGTCAGATTATGTCATTTCTTTGCTTAAAATTCTTGCAAGCCTTCCCAGCAAGGACAATGCCAAAAGGATAAATGTTTCCAGAGCAGACCTGCAGGCCCCGGGGCAGCAATGGGGGAGGCAGGGCCTTCAGGCCTGCATCTTCCTCCCAACCATCTATTTCTCGACTGGCAGTCCTGACACACCTCCTATTATCTGATTCCTTAAAGAAAGGAAACTTTTAAAGGGATAAAAGTAGAATCAATCAGCTTCCTTTTCCAGTTAGGACACCACAAGAAGCCAGTAACACCCACATTTCTTCAGAAGCAATAAGAAAGATATGTCGAGTCTGCCACCACTTAATGACTAGTTTCCAAAGAGAAAGCTAGCCTCTCAGGGAACAGTTGGTGCTGGTGGTGAGTCCTCCTGAAGCACCCCCTGCCCCCTCCAGCTGTTCACCACGCCCTATTTGCCTAATTGTCTCCAGACTCTGTCCCCCTCCTCAACCCCCCTACGCTGTGGCTGGAGGGTGAAGTCCAAATGACATAAGAATCCAAGGACTTGAATTAGCTCAGGTCTCATCTGTTCTCCCCAGAACTACAGCAGCAGCCTCTCTACCAGTCTCCCCAGCTCTACTCATTTACTTATTTCCAACTACAACTTTACACAGTGATAATTTTAAGAAAACCTAAATTTGATCAAGTCCCCTGCTTTAAAACTCTCCAAAGAGTTCCTACATTGCCATACTATAAATTCTTCAAAAGATATTATACAGTGAACCATAGTAAATATTCTTTTCTATCTTCCGTAGATGCTTTTCTTCTGCCTTCTTCCTTAAAAGTCCTTGCTTGCGAGCCCCCTGGTGGCCTAGTGGTTAGGATTCCGAGCTTTCACTGCCATGGCCCAGGTTCAATCCCTGGTCGGGTAACTGAGATCCTGCGAGTCGTGCAGTGTGGCCAAAAAAAAAAAAAAAAGGCCTGGCTTGATCTAATGGGGGTGGGTAAACCATCCGGCTCAGATTAGTCTACTCCCTGCAACAGTGATAGGTCAAAAAGGACAAGCACATCACCCAAGCTGGGCCAACCATAGCCTTTCTCTAGGATTAATATATGGATGCAGAGAAAGGAGTTCTCCCTTCACTGGAACTGGTAAGTGGGAGCTGTCAGCAGTGGTGCCCCCCAGGGAGGGTGGCCTGTCTGCAGTAGGAAAGACTGATGTCAACACACAAAGAATGTAAGGTGCCAGATAGACCACCAGCAGCATCAACTCCCATTCCAGAACCTCTTGCTTTTGTGAACTCCTACAGCACCCTTCCCAGTTATGGAACCAAGAACTACCCACTTATGCCTCAGCTAGCTGGAGTCCCAACAGGCCCACCATGACGTTTCCTGTATCTGTGCCTTTCCCCACAATGTTTCCTCTGCCCAGAATGTGTGCTCCTTGGGTTTTACACAGCAGCCAGGCTTACTCTGCGGAGCCGGCCCTGAAGGGAAGCACAGTTAGTCCAATCTTCCGGTCATGCTCTAAAAGGCCTAGAATATACCTACTCTGTTACACTTACACCACTCCCCTAGCTCCCCAATCTCCTAGCTAGTTGCCCAAGCTAGAAACCTCAGACTCACCTGGTCCTCGGACTTCCTTGTGGCCCGCATGGACTCTCCCTTCTTCCTTTCTGCCCCACGTCTGCTGTCGCAGTCCAGAAATGCATCCTCACCTCCCTGGGCCCAGGCACCAGCCTCCGGGTCTCTCTGCCACTCCCCTCCCCATCCTTCCACACTGCTGCAGAGTTGAACCTCCAACATCCCTCCTGCCACCTACAGAGTCAAACCCCTGGCGTGAAGGCCCTTCACACACTGGCTTCAACCCAATCCTCTAATTTCTCCCAACCACTTCCACTTCCAGGAGGATGCAGTAGACACACCTTTCCCTATTCCACCTGCTGTGCACAACAAAAACCCCTGCACGTGATATGTAAAACAAACAAGAGAGGACTCTGAAAGGTGGAGTGAAGAAGGCAGACCAGTGAGGGGCCTCAGGCCCGGAGGAAGGACACCATGGTGAGTGGCCTGCATTTTCTTTTTGCCTCACTTGGAACGGAAGAACCTGGAGATGCCAACAAGCACAGACGAAAAAGGCTCCAACGAAAGCTTGCTGCCTCGAGCAAGATAGACAACTTTTAGATAGTAACTGCCCTATATCAGCCAAACACCACAGAAAACCCCATGGTCCCACCCACACCCATACAACAAAGTGCAAATGACATGTGCAAAAATCATCTACAGCTAACCATACACTTAATGGTGAAAGACTGAATGCTGCCCCCCAGGATTAGGAATAGGCAATGCTGCCCACTCTTACCACTCTTACTCAGCAAAGAGCCAGCACAAGAGGCAACAAACGGAAATGAAACAGATTGGAAAGGAAGAAATCATCTGTATTTGTAGATTATGTGATTGTCTAGATAGAAAATCCTGTGGAATATACAAAAAAAAAAAAGCCTACAACTAATTAGTGAGTTTATCTAGGATGTAGGATACAAAATAAAAACTCAATTGTTTTTCTGTATACTAGCAATGAACATGTGGACACTGAAATTAAAAATACAGTACCATTCACAATCACTAAAAAAAGAAAAAGAAAAGAAAATGAAAGAAACACTCAGGTGTAAATATAATTTCTTCCAGCAAATCACTGTATGATCTAGCCACGTGGGTCTACTCTGTCCGGAGGGCAGGAAGAATACATTTGTTTCCCTCTCCAATGAAACCAAAATACCCAGCCAGTGCCCAGCACCTAGTAGGCATGCGATATTTGCTGCCACAGCTCATACCCTGCTCTGTTTAAGACAGACTTTCTTCCCCTTATGCTCCTAATGGGAGCGCCATCTACTAAAAAATTCCATCTCTCATTTCTGCCTTGGCGGGTCATGATTGCCAAGTAAGAACCAGGAAAACTGCTTCCGCTTCCACTCCCAAACACACTTATATTCTTACATTACACACAGCATGGATTGGAAGTGGCCTCTGCAGGTTATCTCTTGGTTACCCAGGGGGACACTGGGTCCCTTCCACATCAGTCCAAGGGGCCCCAAGACTCAGTCCAAAGATCCCAGGCAATGATGTGAGACCATTGCCAAAGTTGTTCCATCCAGGCTCTGTGCTGGGAGGAGCTACAGATGTCCTCCCTCTGTCTGAAAGCTCAGTTGTGGAAAAGAATTGCCCATCTGTGCTAAAGTACTGTGGAGGAGAAGAGGCTACGCGAGATACATCAGGGCCCAGAGGGTGTCCAGATATCTTTTTTCAAAAACTTTCCCCCTCTTTTTACTTCTGCGGGTAGAGAGTGAGCCTAATAGTCATTAAGCAAAAGCCAAAAATCTCAGAACTATCCCAATTCCTTTCTTTCTGTCACACACCACCACCAATCCCGCAGCAAAGCCTGTTGTTCCACTTTCAGAATAGATCTCAAATCCAACACTTCTCCGCACCTCCACCATCACCACCACTCTGGACCTGGCTGCTCTCACCACTCACTGGATAACGAACGGCAACAGACTCGACTTCTCTCCCTGAGTCCTCCCTCAACACAGTAGTCATGGTGAGCCTTTCACGATGCAACTCAGATCAGTCGCTCACAATGCAACCAAGTCCGACAATGACCTTAATGGCCTGGCCCCCCTCACTTCCCTGCCTTCACTTTCCACCATGTCCTCATCTTCTCCTCGCTCCACTCCAGCCACCTTAGCCACCTTTACTTGCTGTTCCCATGCCTAATGCTCTATCCCAGTTAAACCCACGACTCACTTCTTCCCCTCATTCACCACTACACTATGAGTTCACCAAAACTCTTTTTTTTTACCTTGTGAGCACATGGCTGGACTACATTTCCCAGCCCTCCTTGCGGTCAGGAGTACACTGAGTGTGACTGAGTTCTGGGTGGGAGGAATGCATGCTTCTTCCAGACTGGCCCATAAAAACCTCCCCACAAAGTCCTCTCTCTTTCCTCACCCTCCAGCTGAATGGAAAGGAATCTGAGGGCCTTGAAGAGGGCAGAGCCACAAGGTAGAAGAAGTGTGGGTCCCTCAATAACCACCAGGAAGGATGCCTGCTTAACCAGGAGCAGCCACATTGGAACTTTTCTATATGAGAAATAAAAGTTTTCTTGGGTTGATATGCTGAGATTTGGGGGGCTGTTTGCTACTCAACCTAAAAATTTGGTCTCCTTCTCAATGAGGCCTTCTTTGATTGCTCTATTTAAAATGCTCCCAACGCTTCTTAGCTGACTGCCTTGCTTTCTTTTTCTCCACAGTCCTTATTACCATATAGCGTACTGTATATTTTATTTATTATTTTTTTCTCTACCTCCCCAAATTTGAATGTAAGCTGAAGGCAGGAATTTTTGCTTTTTTTTTTGTCGTATCCCCTGGGTCTAGAACAGTGCTTGGAATGTTGTAGACAATCATGTTGTTGAACGAATGAATAAATGAATGAATGAATGGACTACATGGGCTCCAAGGTCAGAAAGGCCTGGGTGGAGGCCCTCTCTGCCATTTACTACCTGTGTGACCTGGGGCAAGTTACTCTCCCTCTGTAAGACTCATTTCCTTCAACTGTAAAATGGGGGTAACAGTACCTTCTTTATAGGGACTGGGAATAATTAAGATCATGAACATAAATCTTTCAGTATAGTGCCTGGAAACAGCTCAGGCTCCATACATGCTAATTACCAGCACTGTCAACTCAAGGCCAGAGGACAAGACTGGGTGTCAGGTGCTGGCAAAGTCACTGGTAGGGACACCTATCAGAGAGGAAGAAACTGAATGGATTATTTACATGCACAAACTCTTCTAGAAGAAATTGTGGCAAACACCTAGGTAGTGAAATTCAAGAGCAGCCTAAAAGTTCTCAGTAAATTGCAAATGATCAGAAAAACATGACAACTGGTGTCAGGGGTGATGAAAAGTCTGCAGAAAAGCACTGCTCTGGAGAGAGCACAACCCCAATGATGAGAGATCACTTTGTGCCTTTTAAGAAACAATTTTCACAGCAAAGCTCCAGAAAAGAGAGGCCTCTTGCACCATGAGGACAAGGTAATAAGGCTATAAAAATGGAACTCAAATAAACGACACACAGAGCCTACATGGGCCCAATTTTCCAGGAAAAACAGTGATTGCTACAGCATTCAGATGAGGCAGTCACACTTGTGCCTGAGCATAGCAAATAGCTTTCAGAAATCATTAGGCTGCAGAAAAGCCACTGAGTTTGCCAAATTAGCGGTGCCAGCTCTCACCTGCCCTTCTCTGTCATGCTCTCGTCTTTCTACTGACAAGAGGACACAGACAATCATAGCCAATGTCTGCACCTGCTTCACCATCTTCAAAATACACAGCATCCTGGAGTGAGCAGCACCGCAGTCAGAACCCTGCAGAACCCTTCCATTGCCCTTTGTGTCTGCAGCCTGACCAACCCCTCTCTCCCAGGCCCTCTCAGCTTTCGCTGGCTCAGACCTGCTCTCAGATCTCACCTCCTGGAACTCTCTGCAGTGCTGGGCCTTGCTGACAAACCCCCTTTTTGAAACTCCTTCTTCCTGTGGCCCCTCACAGCTCTCACAAACTCCCCCATACCCACCACTGCGATCCCTCTCATCTCCGTCTCTGGCCCCCTCTTCCACCTCTGCACCTCTAAACACTGGTACCCCAAGCCTCTACGATAGGATGTCTACCCACCTTTCTGGTTCTAGTGCCTGTTCTTCCCCTATATTGGAGGCAGGACAGCTTGGTGGTTAGAAGCAGATACTCTGGAGCCAGACCAGCTGGGTCTGATCTTAGCTGTACAGCACTATGGTCTTGGACAGATAATAAATTGTTTTATGTCTATTTCTTCATTTGTAAAATGGAGACAATTATAAAAGACCTCACTTGGATCACTGCAGGGATAAAATGAGCTAATATAGATAAAGGTCTTAGAACCATGCCTCGCACCTGATACACTCCATAATGTGCTAGCTATGACCACTATTACATGAGCCCATTGTTTCAGCCAAACCCCAAACATACACCATGTCCTTCCACCTCCGCTTCCTCTACTCAGGCCTTTCACTTTTCCTGGGAATGTCTATCTCAGCCAGGCCTTAAGGTGCTGACAAAAGCAACCACTCTTTAACACCTTTCTATATTCCCTCACCCCAGTTGTCCAATGAGATGGAATACCTCCCTTCTCTAACAGGGTGGGGCGGACTTCTCCCAGGGCCCTCTTCTTAATCTCGCTTGAATAATCATTAATTTTAGATGTGTCTTACCTTCCCACTCCCAGTTCATGAACTCCTCAGAAACAGTGGTGCATTGGGTTTTTTCTTCCCAAATTTTTATCTCCTGTAACCTTATACACTGTAAAGACTCAGTCAACATTTGCTGGGTTAAGCTGAAATGCAGAGCCTAAAGCCTGGGTCTACATAACAATCTACAGAGACTAAAACAACAACAGATCAGTAGGACAGGGGAAGCTCCCCCATCACCCCAAAGCCAACACAGATTTCAGGTTAAAAAGAATACAGGGGGAACTTCCCTGGTGGCACAGTAGTTAAGAAGCCGCCTGCCAATGCAGGGGACACGGGTTCGAGCCCTGGTCCAGAAAGATCCCACATGCCGTGGAGCAACTAAACCCATGCGCCACAACTACTGAGCCTGTGCTCTAGAGCCCGCGAGCCACAACTACTGAAGTCCACATGCCTAGAGCCTGTGCTCCACAATAAGAGAAGCCACCACAATGAGAAGACTGCACACCGCAACGAAGAGTAGCCCCAGCTCGCCGCAACTAGAGAAAGCCCACGTGCAGCAACGAAGACCCAATGCAGCCAAAAAAAAAAAAAAAAAAAAAAAAAATACAGGGGACCAAGTCAGTCATATTTGTTTCTCAGTTTCATTCTAGCCATTTCCTAATGGCCAACAAAAAGCCAAACTTTTGGCAAGTTTGCAACCTGCTTCCACTTCTAAGAGTACTTCCCGACAGGCTCGCTCTGTCTTAGGGAGACATGTTTTCTTCCCTCAAAAATCCTATTTACTTTTTGTTTTAGGCTACTTCTTAAAAACATCCTTAAGAAGAGATCATTGTTTATTTTATTTTGTTATTGTTTTAAATAAAGTGCCAAAGATATAGGGACACATAATTCCTCAATTTGAGCAGGTAGATTGCTCCTTAAGAGAATGTACTGGGCTCACCTCCACACTTAAGAACAAACAAGCCATGTATTACTTGTAAATACACAGCCTTTCACTTACATCTAGTTTCACATTACTGTTAGCCTGCTTCTTCATTCATGGAAAACATGACAAAGACCTTCCTAGCATGTAAAGTAAAATTTGAATATATCCTCATTCTTCTTGGAGAGAAAAATTCTGATTCTCCATCTAATCTTGGGCCATTGCCATTAGCCAGATAAATGCCAAACTAATGAAATGATTCTGTAATACACAAAGACGGCTTAATGCAGCATGAGCTGAAAGAGCAAAAATTAGAAGTAATCTAAATGCCCCATAACAAGCTCACGTCTTATTGAGGGCATTCCCTTGATAGTAGTTATGCAGCCATCTTAAAGAAGCATGCTGAAAATGAGGGAGCCACATGGAAAAACGCTGAGGATATCATCTTAAGAGGAAAGGGGATGCAATGTGTAGGGATATGTGTTTGTGCCACTAAGGTTGCCCCAGCTGGGCAGATTAGGTCGCAGGTTAGAAGTAAGAAGCAAGGAAAATTAGGGGAAAGCTGAGAGAAAATCTCAGTAAACAGGGCCAGAGGGGCTGGTGGTAGGGAAATGTGAAGCCTGGGCATGGGGCAGGGACCCTACTTAGGAGTATAGAATGGGAGATAGGAAAGGCGCCCCAAAGCCAAGGTCATTTCAGGAATTCTATCCCAAAGCAGGCAAGGGGAATGGAGAAGAGAACCCTTCCATTGCAGAATGAATCAATCTCTGGGTGAGAAAACAATTTTCAAACCCCTAAGATACTTAAAGTCAAGCCTTGGCCTTTCCACAGTGTTGCCACCAGGCTCCCACTGGAGGGCTCGGCCCTTCCTAAGCCTCTGAGGCTAATCCTGCCCCAAGGCAGAAGGGATTTAAGGGGCTCTAGCCTAGAACACAGGGATTTCGCTTGTTTGCTGATAGCCTGGCAGATAAAGAAAGTGAGCCCCAGTGAGAACAAGTATCTTGGCCAAGGCCACACAGAGAGTTAGGGGCTGAGCTGACACTTGAATCTGAGTCTGCCAGTCTCTGGGTTTAAAGCTCTTCCGTAGAGCAACCTCATACAAGACTGACAGACGAGTCAGACTGGCCCTGCACAAAGTGTCGGCACCCAGCTGCTGACAGAGATGCAGTGGCTTATGAACAGGTGAACCAACCAGAGCAGGGCAGGAAGATCCCAGGGACCCCAGGATATCAACAGTTGCCCCCAAAGAGAAAAAGCCCCCTCTTGTACCCCAGTCCATGCCAAACCCTTGCCTCTAACCCTTGCCTCAGCCTCCTGTACTTTGTGGGTTCAGATGAAGCTCACTGCCCTTGTGGGCGTCAATGTTGGTCCCTAAAGGCATGACCTCCGGCACTGCTGTGCCACCTGTGGGTTCCACAAGACAACTCCATCTCTGGACAGGAGAAAAAGACTCCAGAGCTCCTCCCCACATCTCCCGTCCCCCTTGATTCCTACCCATACCCCTACCAGAATCCCCAGTCTAGACACCTCCTGCCAATACAAGAGGCCAAACTTCCGGTCTGGCATGTAAGGTCCTCCCTCAAGGGGCCCACACCACCTACCTAATCAGGCCTCCTAAGGCACCCACACCCCTCCCCAGGCTGGCCAGGGGCTGCCCTCTCGTCCCTTATGCCACCTCCAGAAGCCATGCTCTCCTCCCCTACCCCAAAGCCCCTACACGCCAGCTCAAGCTTTCTCTCATTTTCCCAGGCCTCCTCCAAACACACTGGTGTTGCTCACATTGTCTCCACTGAATGACCCCAACCCTTCATGGGCTAAGTAGCCAAAGGGCCAGGCTCTCAAATATGGAACAAGCAGGTCACCCAGACACTGCCATCCAAAGGACTATGCACAGGAGGCCCTCTTTTCCCCCAAACCTGCTCTAAATACACCATTAGAGATTCCATCATTTAAGTGGTTGTCAAACTCTCCCTTGATCCCCCTTGGGATGGGGTGCAAACATTAGGCAGTGATGCTGGAGCCAGGACAGCTAGTAAGGGTCCTGATGGATTTGAGAGCATCCCACCTACCACAGCTGCCTGCAATGAGCACTTCCTGGGCTCCTACTATGTGCCCACCAGTGGGCACAGGGCACAAAGACACAAATCCAAATGTACCAGTCGTTGCAGGAATTCAAACTCAAAGAGAAAAGAGTGAGATAAGCCTCTCTAATGCAGCGTGACAAATGTCACCCAGAGAGAGAAGGCACAGAGGGAAGAACAGCAAGGAAGAGAGGCAGCCAGGATTCAATTCAACAGAGAAGGGGCTGGGGAAGGGCTCAGAGAAAGCCGAATGGTTCCTGAGGGGTCATCAACAACAACAAGAGCAGAAGAGCCGCCAGCATGTACTGGGTGCTGACTGCCTGCTGAGCACCGCACCAAGCACTTTGCTTGCTCTACTGCAAACTCATGCACTCATTCATTACGGACCCCTACTACCTGTCAGGCACTGTTTTAGGCACTCCGGATAGAGCAGTGAACAAAATAAACACGCGTTTCTGCCCTCAGAACTACTGAAAGAAGACAATAAACCAGATAAATAAGTAAAATGTATTATATGTTAGATGGCAGTAAGCACTAAGAGGAAAAGTAAAGCAAGAAAGGGAGACAGGGAACGTGGGGGTGGGGCAGTGGGCTGGGTGGTACAACTTTAAACCAGGTGACATTAGAGAAAAGACCTGGAGAAGCTGCATGAACAAGCCATCCGGATATCTGGGGGAAGAGCATTCGAGGCAGAGGGGCAGCCAGTGGACAGAGCTTGGACAGGAAGCACGCCTGGCGTGTTTGAAGAACAGCAAGGATTCCAGGGTGGCTGGAGTGAAGCGAGAGAGGGGCAGGCAGGGTCAGTGCAGACAGCCGCACAAGTTGTGCACTGCACAGCTCAGGAGGGCGCCGCTCACATGCACCACAGTGCGCTACGCAGAATCCAGTCTGCTCAAATCCTCACCAGGCCCTGGGGTGGGAGATGAGGCCAGAGAAGTACTGGGAAGCCCTGTGGGCCAGGAGAAGGCTTTTCCTCTGAGTGAGACAAGAAGCCACTGTCAAGAGGGTTCTGAACTGGAGGCATGACCTGAGCTGACCCCCTCTGCACAGGATCACTGGGCAGAGAGCACAGAGTAAGGAGGCAAGGTTGGAAGCAGAAGACTGCTTCGGAGGCTACTGCAATAATCACACTCAACTATGTATCGTATTATCCTCACAATCCCACGAGGATGGTTCAATGATCACTCTTTCATAGATGAAGAGATTAGGCTCAAGAGAGATTTGGTAACTTGCCCAAGGTACTCAGGCAGTGGCAGATCGGCCAGGACTGGGAAGCAGGGGATGAGTACATTCCAGGTGGAATGAACAGCATCAGTCATAGAACAGGAGATTGGCAGGGCTTGCACACTTGGGGAAAATGGCAAGGGCAGTCAGCGAAGGCCTGTCTGTGCCCTGGCCACTCTCACACAGAAGCCTGCTAGCAGTGTCCAAGCCAGCATTGCTCCCTGGACCAGAGCCACCACCACCTAACCCATCTCCCTCTCCACGCTTGTCATCCCCACCTCAGTCCACAGGCAGCCAGAAGAGTCCTTAAAAAACATAGATCAGATATTAGTTTCTTGCTCTCAACACTCCAGTGGCTTCCCTTCATGCCAGGTGACCAGTAGACCCTCAAGTGATGCTGAGTGAATGGATGACTCCCTCATCCCTGCAGCCTCATCCAGGCCATCCTGTCTCAAAACAGGTGGAAGGGCTACCTCTTCCATCCCTCCTCAGCAGGTGTGGCCAGGACACCATATTAACCAGTCAAAATACACGAGGAGAGAGGGCAGCATTCAGACAACCTTGGGGCAACTTTCAGATTAAATTTTTTTAAATAAAATTGCTTACTCCAGAGCAAACTGGACACAATTTACCACGTTGTGGCCAAGGAAAAGGAGGTCTGCAGATATGCTTGGGCTGGAAAGACTGTAACAGGTGCCTTGTCCCTCTGAGTTCCCAAAGCTCTGGACAGCACTCTCTGTGGGGACGATGTCTAAGAGCTGCATGAGCTGGACAGAGTCATGGGCACTAGGCAGCCAATGAAAGGCCTTCCTCACCGAGTCTGTGAATTTAAGGGGTGGAGCCAATAACTATTCTCTTCTGGAGGCTAAATACAGTGGACCAAAGTTATCTCAGAAACTAGGGAAAACTATGAAATTAAGGCTGAAACAAAACTTTACCAAATGTGAGCCGGCGACTATTTGGAACAAAAGGATTTATTTCCCAAGGATCACTACCACTCCCATGGTTTAAACCCAGGCCCTCTGAGGGTCAACTCCTTCCAAAGCCTTTGTTATCAGTAGAAGGA